AAAAAAATTAAAAAAAATAATATTCCTTCTCTAGAATTTCAAATAACTTGTCAACTTTAACTAAAATAATAGTATATAATACAATTATTCAGTCTCCTTTTGATTTTTGTACCCCCATTCTTTATTTATTTAATTTCAACAAGTTAAATCAACTTCAAAAACTACAAAATCGAGGCATGCGCAAAATATTAAAAACTAATCGTCTTACATCAATTGCCACAATGTTAAATTCTCTTCAATGGTTTTCGATTCAGCAAAGGTTATACTACTTGACCCTTGTTTATTTATAAAATAATTCATTCTTTGGCTCCATCCTACTTTCATCAATTTATTTGTTATCATGGGGATATTCATGATTACAGCACAAGATCAACTAACGATGTATACATTAAAAAAGTTAATTATTTGAAATCACAGGCATCGTTATTGTATAAAGGTTTTCAAGAATATAATGAACTGCCCAGCTTGAAGGATTGTAATTCATTAGCAAGTTTAAAAAAAAAATTGACAACTTTTAATAATACTGATAAAATTTGATTTTAACTTTCATATATTTGATTATTTTTTTATTTTACTTTTTTATCCTTCTTTTTTAATATTTGGGTTCATGCTTTCAATTGTTATGTGTTTTATTGTTAAGGCTTAAGATTAAAAGTATCTTTGTAATGTGTAACAATTTTATTTTTCTTAACTCAGAGTATGTTAATGTTAATAATAATTATCTTTAAGTTTTAAGTTTACTGTATTTGAATTTCTATAATATTTTTTATTGTATATTAGGTTCATCCTACTTCAATAAATATCTATCTATGTTGCCGTAATGACGTATTTGACGTTTCTTTATACACACAATGGTAATGTTATGTTTTGTTTGTAAGTTATGATAACGAATATAACAAGAATTATGCATTCCAAAATAAGGCACTTTATAGCTTTCACATTTTTACTTTTATATGATTAAGAAATAAAACAGAGTTCCGCTTTTTGTAAAGTTTTTGTCATTTTATACAAAACTAATTTTTATTGACGAACCTAAAAGTGGCGCAGTCAGTAGGATTGACTAATGGTGTAACAACTAAAATCGTATCAAATCGGTCTATTTTAATAATTAACGGCAAATTGAAATTGTAAAAATTTGTGAAATAAACTGCTCAAAAAGTGTACATCCAATCGAACGACAAAAATTTCTGAAATGTGGAGATCCTGGACCAGGACCCTATCGCCAAATCTAGATAGTTTTAGAACGTGGACGAGGACCACATCGCTAACGCCAGGTAGTTTTAAGAAACTCAGAGAGAAAAGATAATATCACTCGATCCTATTGATGTAACATAAATAATCCTAGGAATTTCGTTTTTTTTGCAACAAACGCCTTAAAAAACTAAAAACCTACTCAACCAGCATTCTATAATATTACCGACAATCCTGAAATTTTAAATCTTAAATTGATTACTGGTCATTTGTAAATGATTTCGATAATTCAAAAATACTTACTACTTACTATAATTGGCCTTTTTTCCTCTCCTAGTAAAAGTGATCGTCTAGTTAATTAATTGATAATTTATATACCCACCTTGTGATAATGTTAATTGAGGTAAACCAGAATTTGATGTTGATTTGATTCTATTCTAGATATACACAGATTGCACCCTCTTAGGTAAATATTTCGACGAGTATAGAGGTGATGACCAACGGAAGTAACAAACAGCGCCAATACTCCAGTTGATTGCCCTACTATGTTGATTTCACATATACTTTGTTTCAAACCTTGTAGAACGGGTTGCTTGGCGTATAGGTGTCACCCCTTGACCTAGAACAGAAGTAAAAGTTGGAAATGCTTTTGCCAGTTCTCCCACTTTATACACATAAATTGACAGGTTGTCAGCGGATCTCACCGAAGTGGACACGATACATTGGCGTACAAAATTATTTTATAGATATTAATAACAATTTCGAGTAAATAGTTTAATAAATTGTGAATAGCTGTTGAAGTTTTGTAAAATTATAATTTGAATATTATAATACATGTTTAATAATTATTTATAATCCATAAATACATGCGATTGTCCGGTTCCGCCGATAAAAATTTAAAATTACTTATTCTATGAAACGACACTGGCAGGTAAACATTACTGTGAAATTCTCGGAGCCGCCCGACGTGGTTTGTTGTTTACCCCCTCTCTACCTACCAAAAGACTTTTCAACTTTTACTTTCTCTATAACGAACAGCGTATTCGCCAGTTGGTTAACTTACTATTAAATTTTACCATCTTGGTTTGTACAATTTATCCAAGATAGCACATCCCTGTATATCTCTAAAATATTTCGGGGTGTATGACCTGAAGGACATGTGGTTTATTGGTTAAATTAATAATATTTTGTAGCTAATGTCAAGCCCCCTTAAACGAAACCCCGGTAGTATCTTAAGAAAGTTACATAAATCTTTTAACTCACCATTGAAAATACAGACATTAGATTATGTACTATTTTTATTAGCGTTGTGACGGCGTCGATTTAGGTACGTCGCAGCGTTAAGCGTTGAGCGTCGAGGCGTCTAGTGTCGTGGTGAAAAGAAAAGTATTTAATACAGTACTGTATTGGGACAGATATACGGCAGAACTATGTAGGTGGTGCGGGACGTGATATTATAAAGGAAATATTTGGGGACGGCAAGCGTTGGAAATAAGGCGTGGGACGTTGAGCGTTGAAATGAGTATAAGGTAGGAAATACTTAGATGGTGAGGAATGTAACAGCGCTCGAGACGTTGACACCTGCGGGGATAGGAGGTATTGTAGGATAGACGTCGTTTAGGAAGAAGGTTTTAGGAAAGGTACTGACTACTGAACTTAAAATATAACTGGATACAAATAATAAATGAATGCTTGCACATCAAATAATTAAAAATGAATGCTTGCACATCAAATAATTGAAAATGAATGAATCCGAGCTCATTTGGGTCTGACTTTTTATAATAAAATTTTAATGTCTTTTGTGACGTCTCTATGTCTTTAGTTCTCATAGAAATGCGGTGGGTACAGGGAGTGGCTTATTTATTACTTGCTTTGAAAGCTTTGTGTATTGTCGAAATCGGTCTTAACATCGAAACTAGCAAGATAAGCGAGTTAAGTGTTTTAATGATAATTACTTCGTGAACAAAATATGTTTTATGGTGTTTTCTTTCTCTAGGAGTCCACAAAATTTGGATATTTTACGGACGTGGTTATAGATATTATTTATTAGGTGTCGTAAATAAGATTTAATTATCTGGAAGATTTTTGGTTAAATGAAGGAAGAATGCAATATTGTATTTAATAAATTAATTATTAAGGTACCTGGGTGTGGTGGGTTACAATACAGAAATCCCAATTGTGGAGAGAGAAAAATTTCCATTTCCATTCAGAAAATTCGTCAAAATGGAAAATCATCTCACCTTTGATGACGGTGGCTTAAAGAATCTGCCAACAAGACAAAGACGATGTCCCGTTTGAAGGAAAATTTTTGTTAGAATTAATCAATTAGTGTAGTGTGAGAACAGGAAGCAATTAACTGTCAAAAATTGACTTTAAAATAATTGAACTTCCAAAAGTTAATAATAAAAACTACTATTAAATTAAACAGTATTAATTTGGAGCAATTAACCATTCTAAAAGACTGCAAATTTTTAAAAACCAAAAGTTATATTTTTCTTTGTTATTTTTCATTTATTTATATAGAAATTTTAGGAAGAATTCATTGAAGAATAGCTCCAATGAAGAAAATCCAAAGTCTAGCCTAGGATGCTCCTCCTAAAGTTGTGATAACACAATCTTAACAAATACAACTAGAATTATGCAGAAAACTACTTCTTTGCCTGCATTTTCTTGTTTTTACATTTTTTACTTTTATAATATTTAAACATAATATATAGCTCTGCTTTCTGTCTTTTATAAAAGAAAAACAATTTTTATTAACAAATTTAAAAAAAATATTGTTTCATCACTACTCCAGAGTTCGTAGAATTTTTAATAGATTTTTGTTTTTGTTGGTTCATTGTCCCTTTTCATTTTACGAATTTGAAAGTATTTAAAACTAAATTATACATTTGTCTGTTTATGAAAAGAATACTAGAAAAAAATATTATGTTTTTTCTTTAAAATATGCTTTAATTTACAATATGCTTGTCCTCTCCAAAAATTTTTAGAAAATTTCAAGAAAGTTCGTAAATTTATTTATTTTAAAGATTGGAAGAAAAAAATGCTGAGATACGTCGTTTTTTTTATCTAAATCGATGCATAATAACTGACATGCACACACAAGCAGGCATACCTTCTATAAAAGACTATATAATCAAATTATCTGAGAAATTCTACCATAATTGTCTTCCTATAGACGTTAAGGAAGACATATTCAGCATAGCAGTAGACAATTATGTCAACAGGAGGCATGACTGCTTGCATAAAAACCTGACAATATTTAGACGTCGCTAGACACGTAAAGTAAACTCAAAGGACAAAGCGACATAATTCCACGACAATGTAGATTTTACTAAACGACATAACACACCGCGGCTGGTTTTCAGCTCGACGTCAAGACGTTAAGATGGGCTGGCTTTTCGAATAGAAACCAAGTATCCCCCTTGATTTCTGGTCGGCTGGAAAACTACATCAGGACGTACGTCACTGGGTTGCACTAAATTCTACAGAAACAATAGCAATACACATACATACAAAGGATTACCCTGTTTTTTTAAGACGATTTTTCAGGGATTGCCACAGAATTAAACTCAACAAAAATCTCAACATTTACAAATATCGACGCTCCCTAACTCACCATACTGTTCTGATAATTGCAAATTTTGCATGCGTACGTTAATAAAGCTCTTATTCCACTTATATTGTACATAACTATTTCGGTACCTAGTACTTCATAATGCATCTTGAAAGATACTAAAGAGTAGTTAAACATTATATCACAAACTCCTGAAATATTCCTCGTATCATTTCACTTATCTAATTTGCAGGAACGTGCCCTCGGATACCTAGACAGCATCCCGACGAGCGTGGACCTGGGTGGCGGTTTAAAAATACGAGCCAACAGAGTCGAACGGCATGCCAGACAGGGCGTTCCTTTGCCAGACGACCTGCGAGCCAGGGAGGAAGCCGTTGAAAATTTACTTTGGGATAGGATCATCGATTTCATGAGATCGCATACATTCGAGTTCAAGATCCCCGATGAAACTATCAACGATCTGATGGGGAAGCCGGTGGAGGAAGGTAATTACTTGGAATTGTTTCTTTGATTAAAATAGTTTATTTCTGGTTTGGTGGTTTGAAAGTCGTAGGTTCTTACGATTATTGTCCAAATACAACGTTGTTTGTGTTAAACGAAGAAGAGTATTCAAATGCTTTAATGTGGTCATTGTAATAACTTAACTTAACTGATTTTAAATTATAATACAAGCTAAACCGCTTCTGGAATGATACTTCTGTGATTAGTTCGTAGGTTATTCAAATCATAATTAATACATACAAACGTAATTTTACATGTAAATTGAATAAATTCTATTATTATTATTCTTGGTCTTGGCAGAATGTATTTTGCATACAAGGCATTTGTTCCCTCAAGTCTAACTTTGTTGTTTTACTACAATTACCGGTGTCTATTCCTATATTATGCAAATATCCTAAAATAATAGTGTATTTCGAGTCGAGAAATATACCCAAGTCCTTTATTTTATCCACTGGTTGAAGTGTAGATTCATTAATGATGTAACTGTTATATAAATAAGTGTTACTTCAAGTTAACTGTATATAACTACACTTAGATGCATTAAAAAACAAATTATGTTTTCTACAATAATCGCAAAATCTATCTAGATCTTGCTGAAACAAAATCCTATAGAATGATAATAAATTTTTAGATCGTCAGCGTAGATGATAAATTTCGCGAATTTAAAGCATTTAGATATATTATTGACATAAAGGTTAAAGAATAACGGCCCAAGATGAGATTCTTGTGACACTCCTAATGTAGGAATGATAAATTAAGGCCTCGGGCGTAAAATATTTTAAGTGACAAAGTGGAGAATTTTTGTTTATAGCTTGTAAAATATGTTAAGTACACATCTATTTTATGGAACAATTCAAATTTCCCGCCAAGCGGCTCATTTGTGTTATACCGCCATCTAACAAAACGTGTTAAATAGAATTTATCATGACAGTTGTAAAACAACATGGTGGCAGTACTTTTCCGGTTTTAAGGGAATGTACATCTTGAATTTGCACCGTCCTCTAAAACCCACCAACATTTCGTCTACACATGCTAGAGCCCCTATAGGGTATGATTTTCTAGCATCTTTCACAAAAATATCGAAGAATTCTTCTATAGATGCGGCGGGATTGTCTTCTTTTCTTGTTTCTCTGTCATCGGGATTATCAAAACGTAGAGCAGTTAGTAAGGTTACAAAACGTTCTTGAGACATAACAACTCTAACAGCCGTATGCATAGTCGATCGCCAGAGATTCATTTCGGCGTATCGCCAGCGATTTGCTGGCGATCCGCCGGCGAAAGCCCAAAAAGCTGGCGACTCGCCGGAGATTGTCACCGGAATGTCATTTCACGCAAGTTTTTATTTTCTTTTATAGGGACTATCACCGGTATCTCTCGCATTTTATTCATGATTCATTTCTTAAAACTCAAAAAATAATGAACGAATATCAAATTTTTCCCTATAAAAGAACATGAAAACTTGCGTGAAATGAAATTCCGGTGACAATCTCCGGCGAGTCGCCAGCTTTTTGGCCTTTCGTCGGCGGATCGCCAGCGAATCGCTGGCGATACGCCGAAATGAATATCTGGCGATCGACTATGCATACGGCTGTAAATATTTCTCTGCCTGTTTCATCGCTAGCAAAAATACTCCTCACGTCTTCATTATTGGATTTGAAAATTGCAGAATACAATAGCAACCCAAGAAAAGCTCGCAATTCTGTAGGATTCAATTCCGAAAGCTCAGGTTTATTTGAGCGGTCATACTGAAGTCGCATTTTATTTAGTTTTTTGTTTGTCCAAGTAATAATTTGTTTATACATTTCTTCAGAAAATACTTTATAAAAGAACTCACTAGGATCAGTGCGATCATCAACAATTCCACGTGCCGTTGATAAACGTACAATATTGTGTGATGGGACACGGACATTTCTTGTAGGTTCATCCCATTCTCCATTTATATCTATTTTTTCCATTGAAATAATTTTTTTTGCCCGTTTTTGATTTTGTTTTTCTTCTTCTTCTTCTTCTTCTTCTTCTTTCTTCTTCTTCTTCTTCTTCTTCTTCTTCTTCTTTCTTCTTCTTCTTCTTCTTCTTCTTCTTCTTCTTTCTTCTTTCTTCTTCTTCTTCTTCTTCTTCTTCTTCTTCTTTCTTCTTCTTCTTCTTTCTTCTTCTTCTTCTTCTTCTTCTTCTTCTTCTTCTTCTTCTTCTTCTTCTTCTTCTTCTTCTTCTTCTTCTTCTTCTTCTTCTTCTTCTTCTTCTTCTTCTTCTTCTTCTTCTTCTTCTTCTTCTTCTTCTTCTTCTTCTTCTTCTTCTTCTTCTTCTTCTTCTTCTTCTTCTTCTTCTTCTTCTTCTTCTTCTTCTTCTTCTTCTTCTTCTTCTTCTTCTTCGTCTTCTTCACTGCTCGAATTAATAACTTCACCTCCATCAACATTCAGATTGTCTGGTATATAGTCGTTATCATTTAGTTCTATTTCATATGTACTGTGATTACTTGCTATATAAACACTTGCATTGGCTTCACTATCACTATTATCACTTTCTAGCTCATTGTACCATTGCATAACGTTTTTGTCAAAGTCTTTATCAAAAAATCTTACTGCTTTTTTTGAAGAACTAGCCATTTTTATTTTATTGTAATTGTAGCGTAAACACTGACACGGAGTCTGAGAAACTTCTAACATATTATAACTCGAATTTAGGAAGGTACTCAAGGCGGCAGCGGTGTGAAAAATTTATGGAAGGGCTAAGAAGGTAAATCAGGTACGCGGGAGTCTAGTAGACTCCGTGTCAGTAGTTAAGGGTTAACGTACGTATGCTCATTTGGTGACGACTCGTTTAAAAAGTTTAAAATTTTATCTGTTCTTCTAAACATTCCTGCAAAATAAATAAAATGCCTGATTTATTAGTTTTAACAAAAAAAGGTGATATTCCTAATTTGGTTTTTACTAGTCATTAATTATTTTAACCTGTAGCCACTGAGGTGAACCTTTTATCTGAAACAACACTGTTTTAAAAAATGTAGTTTTGTATTATGATTTTATTTAAGCATTTTAAGGTATTGTTGCACAAAAAACTTATCTGTCTAAGGGTTACGGACACACTTGGACCGTGATCTCTATTGATTTCGACCCAAACAAACTGGATTTTCCAAACCGATTTTACATACTAAATCTGCCAGACGAAAAAAAAAAAGTCCAAAGGGAAAAGTAAATATGTGAAAAAGCTATTTTCGTTTCAAATCAGTGGCAAAGCAAACAGCCGATTTGGACGTTTTTATAATGTAAAACGAAGTATGATTATTTTAAAAGGCTTTGATTCGAAACTAGCTTCTGCAAAGGTTATACTAAAATTGAATAAATATTATATATCCAAAATTATATAATTATTTTCTTAGTAGTTCCGGACTGTAATGATAGGGGCGCTGAGTTCATAAATTTAATGTTTTACCTTTTAGTGTTGATTTAATTATTTTAATAATAAAAAAAAAAATAAATAAAAAAGAAGTAAATGAACAAATTATAGGTTTACTCAAACTTACCGGATAGGAGGAAAGGGCAATCGTCTTCCTTATGTCCTGGGGATGAAACTTCTTTTGAAGTCGCGCAATGCGAGGTAAATAAAAGCCGTAGTAACAGTTTCACAAAATTTTGCCGGTTGGGATTAATTTTAAACTGTATAGTAGGGTGCATCGTTAATATTAAATTTTACTTAAAGAAATGCAACAGGTCTCAAAACAAGGGATTTTAAAACCTGATAACGAAAAATAAAAATGAAAAAAAAATGTGCAAAATTTAAAGAAAGAAATGAATTCTACATATTATACAGAACGTTACAATAATTTAAAAAAAGAGTATGAAAAAATAACAAAACAATATTTGAGAAGAAAAAATAATGATCGTATTTTATAAAGTAATAACGTAATGAAAGAATCCTGGAATATAATAAACGAGAGTAGGGGAAAAAGAAAAAACAACTTACAAATGATGACAAATTAACACCCTTAGAAAAAGTAAATTATATCAATGATTATTTTATTAATGTAAATAAAAATAATATTGTACCTAACTATACTATGAGTATTGATAAACATGATAAAAGTTTGTTTTCTTTTTCCAACAACTCCTAGTGAAATCATCACTATAATCAAAAAAACTACTTCTAAACCCACTGAAGGTATTGACGAAATAAATGGTAAAATTCTGTTATCGGTTGCTCATTGTATTGCTGAACCCATATCACATTTGATTAGTGAATCCACTGTTTCGGGATTATTCCCAAATATGAAGGAATCTAAAGGAATTCCTGTTTATAAAAATAAGGGATTTGCATCTAATATAGAAAATTATCGTTTAATCTGTATATCTAGTCAAATAACTAAAATATTTGAGTCAGCATACTTTTTTAGACTCACTAATTACCTTGAAAGTTTTAATATGTTGCCAGATAAATAACATATTTTGGGACTCTTCTATGACCTTAGCCTTGCATTTGATTATTGAAGATGAATGGGGTAGGAATACGATGGAAACCTTATGAATGGATACAGTCTTACTTAATAAATCGAACTCAAGTAATTGTAACAAATAGTCTAAAATCTGATCCCATTCCATGTACAATAGGAGTTCCCTAAGGTTCAATTTTGGGCCCACTTCTTTTTATAGTTTTTATAAGTGATATAAGTAATTTTTGTTTAAGCTCTCAAAAAATAGTTCAATATGCCGATGATACCAATATTGTAATGGCAGATAATCAAATTGAACAGGTCACTCAAAGTAGCAACGAGGCATCTCGTGAGTTTAACCAGTATTGTAAAGATAACGGTCTGGCATTAAATGTAACAAAAACAAACCTTAATACAATTTCTACCCAAAAACATATTACCAGATTACGAACCCTACTTGCACGTTGACGGAAAAACTATTCAAAGCGTTGATGCCATAAAATTTTTAGGAATAATATTAGATCCCAAATTAAATTGGAAAGCTCTTATAAAAATAGTAACTTCAAAATTGAGTACTTGTTGTTATATCATCAAAAATTTAAGGGAGACACTATCTTTTGATACTTTAACACTATGCTATTTTGATTTGGTTCATTCAACTCTACAATATGGGTTAATATTTTGGGGTTCTTCACCATGCTTTGAAAGAGCTTTTGTATCTCAAAAGAAGGTTCTAAGAGCCATGTATAAGGTGACACCAACAACATCATGTAAAGAACTTTTCAAGAAAACGCAAATTTTAACAGTACCTTCTCTTTTTATTTTTCAACTAATTTTATACATAAAAGATAATGAGCATATATTTAAGAAAAATAAAAACCTGCACTCTTATGATACTAGAATAAAAATAAGCCAGCATTCACCAAAATATATTGGGATTAAGTGTTACAATAACTTCAGTAACATATTAGAAGATACTACAGGTTATCATCAAATTAGTCGTAATGATTTAAGAAAACATCTTAATGATTTTCTTGTAAATAATGTATTTTATAATATAGAAGATTTTTTGAACTTTTAAACTAATCTTAACATGAATTGTCTATTATATATATTTTATTTTATTTTTTAATGTATTTTACTTAACACTTTTTTTGGCTAGTCTGATAGGATGTATCTAGTGTCTTTGTATAGTGTATAATTCTCAAAGATGAATAAATTTTATTTCTATTTTTATTTTTATTTTCTATATTTCTATTAAAACAATTTAAATTTTCAGCCAGAAAAAAGAAAGGAGGAGGCGGAGGAGGTATGAGAATGCGCACAATGCTCCTGCTTCTTCAACTCAAAGCTGCGACAATTGGCGCAATAGCCTTAAAAGTGATTGGATTAATAGCTTTCAAAGCATTAGTAATAGCCAAAATAGCCTTCACTATCGCAAGCATCATCGCGTTGAAGAAGCTTCTGGAATCAAAACATCACACTTCAACTTACGAAGTAGTCGCTCATCCACATTATGAAGAACACGGTCATTTTGACAGGTCTTTTAATACATTCAATGCTCAAGATTTTGCTTATAAAGGTTACAACGCTTTAGGAGGAAGAAGTAGCAGTTAGGATGGTGTTGAGATAAGTTATTGTGTCAAATAGAAGGCTGTAGTTGGGATATGTTAATGTTTTAAGGAATATCCGAAAATATTTTCTACTTAAACATTTTTGAAACGTTATTTATTTTAAAAATAAGGAAAGAACGGTGACTATTTTATTATTATTCAATGATAATTTAATTAATAATGTTAATAGTCCTATCATAGGGTGCATGAACCTTAAAAAGGATGTAGAATAATTTTTTATTGACTTATATGTTTTTGAGGGTGCTGAACAGAAACCTGAGCTTTGTCACCATGAGTTTTTAATTTAAAATCATTTACAAAAGTATTTTTTTATTTTTTAAACTATCTATACTGAATATAGTAATACGTGTGTCTTTTTTATCATTCTATCAATGACGAACTAACAATTACGTTTTGTTAGAGAGATATGACAACTGACAGATTAAGAAAATTATTTATTTTTCCTATTGAAGAAAATACGAAAAAAATAAGTATAAAAATACATACTTTAGTAGAAGTAGAATTTTTTGATAATAAAACTTACAGTTACAAAACATCGTCGTAAAAATGGTTTAGTTTATATAAAATAGGTACTTTTTATAACAGAATTTATAAAAAAAAATATTAAGGTGTTTTAAAGCCTTATATATATTGTTATATTCTAAAAACAAAACTGAAAGACTGAATCTAAGATCTGACCCGGTAGAAACTCTTTGATAGAACAAAAGATTTATTATGAATTTTTAAATGGATTAAATGGATTTATTGGTAGATTGTTTATTCTGTGAGGAGGTTTTTTTAAAAAGTCAGGTGCATAAGAGCTCCGCAATCGTAGGTTTTAAATTTAAAGGTCAGCTCTATGACGGGTTTTGTAATATTTGTGAATGTTTTAGGCTCTATCGTAGCTTCGAGAACGTTTACAAAAATATAAAAGATATTCTAATATATACTGTAGGGGAATTGTCTATTTAAATTTTTTAAGTAAGCTGGTCATCATCCTGAAATTTTATTTCAAATTAAGATACATACATTATCTATGTTTCAACTTTACACAAGCCTATTTTTATCTATAAAAGAAAAATACCTATATGGGCCCCTAGACAAAAAGATTGTTTTTCCTCACTATTCCATACTCGCCTCATTTTCTTTTATTTATTGCTTAGAAAAAAAAGTATGAATAATATAATAAAATAATTTAAAAATCATATATTGCCACTGGTAGAATGGCAAGTGTCCAATAAAAAAAAATTGTAAACACAAATTTGAATCAATACATCAAACTGTCGACTATTATTTATTTTAACGATCAACTACAAATAAAGCAAACTGAACACAAGCACTCAAGTTCGCACCGATGAATCAGCGATTCCATTAACTGAAAAAGGACATATTTAAAAGCGTTTTTGGCACTTGGTATGAATTGTCATTCCATACAGTCCAGGCGGTTCTGAGGGTCTCCCTCCTCTGCAACTTTGTCCATTCGCTTTTTTTAATCTTTAACTACATGTCACACGATGTAAGTATTGGATTTTCGATATATATTTTCTGCTATTTTATAAAAGTTTATTTTTTTGTGCAGTCTAGATTAGACTTAATTAGAACTGTAGGCCATGTGGACTTCTCAACCTTGACCTTTTCAGATCTATTGTGGATATCCTTTAATCCGATGTAGCCAGTTGCCCATGGTTTTTCTTCTCCATGTGTAAGGAATCTTAGTCTTGATAGACCTTTGCAGTAACAAAATACATGTTCTGTAATTTTCTCCTCTCCCTGATAGAATGGACAAAAGGACTCTTGTATTAGACTGATTTTATACATATCTTTGTTAAGCCTACAATACCCTGCTAATAAACCTACCAGTACGGTAGTATTTTTCTTAATGAGGCTTAGTAGATGCTCGGTAAGTTTAAGCGATGGTCATTCTAAGAACTCTTTGACCTGTCTCTGTCCTGGTAAATTTTACCACCATTCCACTGCTTTGTGCATGTTCTGATAGTTGTTTTTATGATACCACCGAAGGGTTCTGGACCAACAAAAGCTTTTAATGCTCCTTCTCGGGCTAGTACATTAGCCTCTTCGTTGCCCTTTGTCCTCTGTGGCCTGGTCCTCAGGCTAAGGTTAGTCTGTTTTGACTGCCCAGCTCCGTTAAGGCTTCCAGTCACACACCTGCTTTGCGTGTACTTGCATAAAACTGAGTCCTTTTAACGTCGCTTGACTGTCTGATTATATAAAAATGGTTTTTCTATTTACCTTTTATCTTAATATCTCTTTTGGGCATTGATGTATTTACTGGTGCTATTTCTACATGGAATACTGTCGCATGTTTACCTAAGTTTAGTGAGATTCTTGACTTTGACTTGGTACTATTATATATACCTACTCCTGAACCTTCATTGCTTTTGGAACCGTCTGTACACTAGGTGAAGTCTGCAAAAAATAGGCGGTCCTCCCATCTGCGCTTCCCTGTCTGGTATACTGACTTTTTATTGCTTTGGAAGCATTTTGTCTGAAGGCATTCTCATTATTTGATAGTTCTACAACTCTTTTTATAGCTGGCTATAGTCACGTTTATGTAAACTGCTTATGGGCGATAGACCTTTGTGCAGTCTGTATGTGACAGACCTTGCTTTGCCTTAAATAAATAAATGTAGTGGTGTTAGGTTATCATGGGTCCCGTGGTACTCAGTCATACTTGTTTTTGAATACCATTGATCTGTCAAATGGTTCCAGCTTGTCGAGTCTTTGACTATCACACCACCGACCTGTAGTTTATCACTGGCATATACCTATAGGAACATTTTCGGTTATAGTCCCTAATTTTTTGCACTCAACCTTCGTGCAGTTTAATTGTTTGTTCTTTATTCTTAAAAGATTTTTGCCGATTTATTCAAAAATTCAATAGGTTATAGTCCCAGAAGCTCCTAGCTGCGTCTATAAAAAGCAAGAGGTGTTAATTATATTTTAAATTAAATATAAAAACATAATAGTTTTAAAAATATTAACAGGTCCCATCAAAGTTGCCCAGCCAATTGTATTTTGAAAACTCAGGATGAGTAATTAATTAAGAATGGCTGAAGCATTGAATTGCAGAATTGTTAAATTTGATGAAATTTTTTTTAGCTTTAGAAGTTTAGTTAAACAATTGTGTTTATAATATAATCACTGGAAGCAAAACCTACAGCTAACCCAGAAAAAATTAGAAAATGGGAGAAAAAAGTTAATCAAGCGATGATGGTAATATTTTAATCTTAAATCAATGCTCAACTGCAAAACTACTGGCAAAATGTAGTAGAAACCAGTGGCGTAGCGTGTCGTCGATACAAGGGGATGTAATGAGTACTTCGATTCACATTTTATACAAACAAGTTTTTTATTAAAGTCTTTAAGTTTGGACTTAGAAATTAAGTGTCTTCGCCACTAAAAGAAACTCAATACTATTCACAAGCGAAAGACTCATGTTTTGAAGCATGTTGGTCATCAAAAATTTTATGAAATGAAGATGGAACCAAAACAAAAAGTAGATTCATTTTTGTCTAAAGTAGAAATCTTAAACAAGATATATGAATGAAACTAAAACAGACGTTGCTGTTGTTATATCAAATACTATTAATAGTTTACTGTCTAAGTTTGCAATGTTCGTGAAGTTATTGAAGAAGGTGAAATCAACAATGAATCTAAAACTCAATTAGCTGATACGATTATAAAACGATTACCAAATAACAAGTTATAAAATACGTAAAGAAATTTGAAGAGTTTAGATATTAAGGAAATAAAGGATTTCTTTAAATATAATAATATGTTTATAAATAGTTGTAGTTTTTGGTTTTGTAAATTTTAGTAAATTTAATTACTTCCGAATCGCTGTAGCGCATATATCTTTGTTATAAAAAAACACATAGGAGTTATAAAAAAAATTACTTTTGTATTGTCTTTTTTGCTTGTAACTTTTCCTGGAAAAATTAGTGGTGAAAAAGTTCAGATCCATATTTATTACCTATCCTCGAGAAAAGAGTACATAAACCACTAAAAAATTAATCCTCATTTTTTGCAAGGTTGCTTGCATCTCCATATGATTGGACTATAGGTTTCTTCAGGTATTTAGCAAATAAGCTAGTAGTTATTAAATTATTTATTTTAACATATTTTTAAGTATTTATATATTTATTTATTCACGTAACTATTTATGTATTTATTTATCTGTTGCAGTATTAAGTTAAAAATATAAAAAAGGTGGTGGTAGAAATTTGTAGTACTTCTAGTCATTCATTAGAAATAGGTTTATATTATGCTTACAAATTCGAAAAAATAAATTCGTAGCATAGATATTTAAAATACATTAAGGTTTACTTTAAAATAGTAAAATTTTTATTAGTTTCTTCATACTAAACTATTTTATAAATAGCTTTCACTACTACTGAGGCACTTATCGTATCACGACACCAGTTTTTGTATGACCTCTACAAAGACGTGAAACAACTAGTACTCAGTTATAGGATAGAAAAGAAATAACTGTATTAGGTTGGTTGTAGATAAATTTGGCGATAACATCTCCATTTTTTTCCTAAAGTCCTAAAAGAGTATATTGTGGCTCATCTCTCAGTTATAACTGACCGTATAAAATGAAAACTTTTGAAAAAGGCCATGGCTGAGTCAATGGGTGAAAAATGAGCACTGTTGTGAGGTTTAATCATTTGTTTTTAGCGATTAGTGTTTAAATTTGTATTTTAGATTGTAAGTCCTATCATCAACAGTGGTGGTTTGTGACCAAGAAATTGGGGGTACAGATTTAGGTAAAACCTTTCATTGTTTATAATATACCTTTCTAAAACACTGAAAGTTTTTCACCACAATCCATATTCTCTCATTGTGAATCCCTAATATTTTGGCCACAAGTTGCGACTGATCATCAAGTAACATTATATCAGAGTAATATGTTACTTATTTAACAAAATAATACACAATAACAGCCGGTTGTATAAACTGAGTTTAAACCTAGGTTTAACA